CGCGTAAATTCTTTTTTATTTGAATGACACTTTAATATTATCTTGTATCTTTAATCCTAAGGACTATTCAGATGAAACTTTGTTTCATGCTCTGTTCTTGCGTTGTAGGCGTCGACATCACTGATTCTTGCACATATCCCCAAAGAAAATAATCAGGGAAAGTGTAGATCTGACGATCGCATTGGCCATGTTAGATTACTTCTACGTCTCATCCATTTATCCCGAAAAATTTGTTCACAAAACGAAGTACGAAATTATCTCCCGAAAAATGATGAGCTAACAACACATTGAAATCGTTTGCAGTTCAATCGCTCATAAATTACAGCTTCCACATTGAAACCGTGTTTCTGTCTTTAGTAATCATCCCAAGCTCTAGGGTACATTAGTGGCTTAATTCTCGCGTAATCGACTTTGCTTGCGTGTATTTAAACGGAAAACACAGAAAATCTGCCCAAATGAGAGCAGAGCGCAAACACGGACAGTTTTAAGAAATTACTCACGCGGGAAGCGACATTTCTTCAGCCGACGTTAAAAGCCATTAGCCGGAGCGGCGTTGCGAGTTGGTTAAATCCAGCGGAAGGCAAACGTTTGTTAAGTCGTAAACTTAATTCGATTACACTGATGGCTCCGTGGAGTCGGTTGCAAAAGCTGCGGAGGGCAACGGGCGCAGAATTGTTCGAGCATCACGGACGTAATCGGAATTTAATATTGTTCTTGCCGAATTCCGCATTCGGCAACGGGAAGATTGACGACCGACGAAATTAGATTATCAGTTTCGCTGAATAGTAGAGCGAGAAACGATGGCCGCCAAGAAGAGATAAAATTATTTCGTTTCAAGAACAGACGGTAAAAGTAGGATTTAATTCATCAACTTTTACCGTACATAATTTTGTTCGCGTTTAGAATACACACCCCTCGCCCATAAAACGCTGAACATTTGGTTTGTTTGAGAATAATGGAATTTGAAACAGAAATGCAATTAGTTTAAGTAATTTCACTAATTTATTGTATTTTCAGGTTAGATTATGATCTTGAACATATCTCAAACTTTCAGAATTACTTTTAAAAAATTGCAAAATAATAGCAACTACAAGAAGAGCAACGAAAACTCCAAAATATAAAGTTAGTACAATCTATAATCAACTATTTTAACCAATAGGATGTACATTTTTAATATATTTTCAAATGGAAGAAATATTGGGAATATTTTTTACTAATATGTTAGAGTGAGAACGTACAAGTTTTACTAAAATCACAGTATTTACTTCTGTTTCCACTACGACGAGAAAATTTCAGTATTACTTCCTGAACCATTTAGTGATATTGGCGTTAGAAATATTCAAAATGTTGCTTCAATTTCTGACCTTGTATGATCTTGAAGGTCATTGTGTCTATACGAATGAATTCGTCTTGACACACGCTTTCATACGATATAACAAAATATTACAGCATTCCACTTAAAAAAATGTAAGGTCACTTTTATTTCTGCAAAATGGATCAAACACAAAAAAATACATACGCCGTTACGTTGCTTGAAAAAAACAGTACTACTTTTTCCACTTTCATTTTTTTCTAATATTCAGTAGAGTAAAGGACACTATTACTGACACTTTAAGATATGACACTGACATTATTGCACAATTTTTGTATTAACTGACCAAAAACATAAGTTTTTATTTCTATTTATTATTATTTGATATGTCTACATGAAGGAAAAATTTGTTGTAACTTTATGAGCCTACACTTTTGTTTGTAAATTCATTAGCTTCAAAAATATATCTCGAAAGCTATTACATACCGACACCTGTACAACGTGTTCGATCGAATTACTGACATCCCAGTTATTACTACCACCTAACTAAGTACTGACACCTCATATACCTAAATACTGTCACTTTTTTAGATTAGGTTGCACGTGACTGCAGACCGTCTTAATATTTACCGTATATAATAGCGTAAGGCTTTATTTTCGTAAACAATTACTGACAGGACGGTAATTAAAAAATTATTGAAACGCTTGTACCAATCACTGTAACCCAAATATTAAACTAAAAAATTTAACGAATCGTTAAATTATGATTGATATTATTTTCTATTATCTTTATATTACTTAAAACATGACATTTTATTATGTTACTAGGTCACATATTACAATTATAGTCTTTTCTTTAGTACCTTATTTTCCCTTTCGCAAATAAAGAAGTCGTTGTTTTTAGTCTTTCAATCAACAAAATATTTACAAAAATTAATGGAAAAATGAAATTAAGTTCTGCTCTTTCTACCGTATGAATTACAGTTTTAATTGCATGCAGAATTTTGGTTATGTATAACTCCACAATGTTTATTCATTATGGTTAATAAAGTAACTGTAAATTGTAATGATAACGACATCTGTTATGATCTAGAATCTAGCGAAACCAATGTTTTGGATAGGCTTTTCATATATGTGACTTATAGTATTATTTAGTACTCCGTCTCACTCACTCGTTTAGTAGAAATGAACAGACGAAGATGGCGTTTACCAGAGAGTAATACACAATTAATAACCATGTGTAACGTTCTATTCTATAGCATGATATATGTAAACAGAGCCGTTCCTGGACTAGTAAGAATAATAATCATAAATTTTCTGATAATTATGAAAATTTTGGACTAACAGAATTTGATCAAATTAATATTGTATACGTAATCTTTTGCAACACTACTTATATGCAGAAGGAATTATGTATCTTTATGGACAGCCCAAAATAGCATATAGCATTTAGCCATATTTATTGGATTAAATTCGTGTAAGTAATTAATGGTCGCTATTTATCAACCATAACATCATTTTATTACAAACATTAGGCGTTAGTTTCGTACTTATAAGTGAAATAAAATATTCATTTTAAATAAAACCCTCAATTTTTGTAAGGATTTTTGTTTCATTTTATGAAAATAAACATTAAAAAATATTTTTTATTTTCATAAAATGAAACAATGATCCTTCAAAAATGAATATATATAAACATTGCATATCAAATTTTTAATTGTATAATATTAAATTAATAAGGGCGGCGATATTGTTTCTGCACCCGGGCGGTAAACATCCCAGGAACGGCCCTGTATGTAAACTTATAGTATTATTAAAGTATAGTTTATAAAATACAGACTGTGCATGATTAACCTGAACAGTTATTCTAAATTACAGTAATTCGGTAGGTGGCAGTGAATGGGTCTGTTACCCTATTTGCAAGAAAAACGCTGGCTAGTAATAGCGTGGACACTCTGTAATGAAGAGATTCTACTACATTGACTTCACAACCAGATATCGTCTTTTAATTCGTTGTAATTTACAAGCGAAAAACTATCCGCGATACTGTTAATTTAGATAGCTTTCCGGGAATTTGATGATCCAATTCGTTGAGAGGTTAAAGCGAAAAACTATCGAAACACTATTAATTTGGGTAGCTCTCCAGGATTTGATGATCCAGAATCTCGGTCCAATATTCGAGAAGTGTAAGCCACCGGCCTACGGAGTGGAACCGTGTGTAGGCTAATTCGATTACGTAGCCGGATCGTCTAGAACGGTATTATGGGGCAAGACCGGGTACGGGGTACGGAGTACGGAGCGCCGGAATCTCGTTAGGACGCTCATCTCCCTATGGGGAATTGTTATCGGGCTACCCATCGGCTGGCTGTTCCGAAATTTCGCGCTACAGAATGAACAACAAACGCAATTACGCCGGCCATAGAAAAATACCATCGTTCGGACCAGGGCAACACACATTGTTCCGGATATAAGGCTGTGCAATACACAGTGTATTCAAAAAGTTCCCGGGCTGTTATTACATGATAGCTTCTGGTGGCTAAATCTATTGACTATAGATCTTCTTTTGTTTATCAGCTTCGTTTAACCTTAAAAGATTTAGTCGTTTGTCTGCAGAGCACATTTAAAATTTGTCAGTTTTGTTTTGTTGTAATAATTTTTGTGATGGAGCAAAGAGCTGCGATACTTGATGAATCAAACGGAAAGTGACAACAACGTTAAAGGGTATTTCAGTCGAAGACTTTTCCAGATGTTTCCGGCGACTGTATGAACGTCAAAACTGTATCAACAGAGGAGGAAACTATGTAGAACATTAAACAATAAAATGATGTCTACCTATAAATCTTGTTGGTAGCAAACATAATTCCGGGAACTTTTTGAATACACTGTGTACGTTCTCTCCCCGAAGACTGAGAGCGTGTAACTTGAAATAGGTCCGTTTTCGCAGCCATGTTAACGTATGAGAGGGAAGAACGAATAGTGAGTTATGTATTAAAGTGGTTCGTGCCAAATTCGAAAGACTAGATGATTAAATAAAATTCATACAGATTGTTTATTAGAATGAAATGCACACGCAAAAAAGTACGAGACTCGGTCGCCAATCGTGTAATTGGATCGCGACTTGGATACAAAGACTCTATGGAAACTACGGAGTACAAGTTTCAAAAAACTCTAAGTTACAAGACTCAGCTTATTTCGCCTCGACATCAAATTCCAGCTTGTTGTTGATGTAACGCGTAAGAGATTTGGTATTACATTGGTCCGTCCAACAAAAGGAGCCAGTAAAAATTACCAAAATATTCTCGTGATGTGCCCGGTTATTGGCCGGCAATTGTCTTTGTCCTTATCCCACTTAAATGGTCATCACTTTCTCATAGTCAAGGATCGAAATAAACAAGTATCTTTACGTTTTTAAAAAAATTCTCGAAACTCGACGGAATATTTTCCATGTATAAATTGCATCATATTTATTAGTTTATGATAGCATGAGTATTGCCTGTTGAGTTTAAACATTACGTAGACGACACTCATTTGAGATCTTCAATAATTTCGTATTTTTCATCAAGTCCAGATTTACTTGACATTTATTATTTTTTTATAGTAACTAAGACATATTGTAGGTATCCTACAGTGGGTTTTGCTTTGAAATTTGACTCCCTGTTAAACCGCTTATACGGATTAAACCACTTACCGATACAAGTTCCATCGGGGGTAGCCTCGTAACCCGGTAGACAGGTGATCGACAAGCTGTCCAGTATCGGCTGATCTTTCAGCTCCATTGGCTCGGCGCATCGATAAGATCCTGGCGTGTTGATACAACCGTAGCGACACATTTCCGTTTGTAGATCAGGCTGGACACACTCGTCCACATCTGCAAAAGATATTATAATTCCAATTATTTTTTTATAAAAAAATCCATTTATAAATGTATGTTTGTTTTATAATAGATATTGTATTCTTATTAATAACATTTGAGACTATACATAAGGGGCGATTCTATAACCTTTAACACCTTGCGTGACTAATAAAAGTTAAAAAATCGTTAAAAATCTCTATTTTTCTACAAAAATTAATTGGATTGTTCAGTCGAAAGTAAAAGTAATTATGGGAAGTAAATAATAACACCGTTTAACACGATTCTTGATCTGCAATATCCATTGGGAAATCCTTATAGAGTTTCTCGTTCAGATCACGAATCTGGAAATAGAATTTCTCCATCTCCCTCACTTTTTGAAAAACATGAGCTTTCAGAAAAACACCCGATTTTTAGCAAAAAATAACGTATTACGTGAAAACTAAAATCGTTACGAAGTTCAATTTAATCTTGAAAGATAGAGGAAAGATTCCTGAATATAGCAGTGTATATAGTTATCAAATTGTGCAATTTTTAATAGTTGTAAATTGCCGTGAAAGTTTAAAAAAAAGAGCCGATGTGCGTACTTTCTATGCACTATTTTTGCAAACAAAATCACACAATTTTGTAACTACATATCTATATATATAGATCGCTATACTCAGGAAACTGTCCTATAGCTATCAAAGTTAAATGGAACTTTGCAGCGTCTTTAGTTTTTACGTACAGAGTCCTCTCGATTATCGTCCCTAACTCGAGTCCGCGAGGGGACGATAATCGTGGACTACGCGAAACACTTCTAACCATCCATTTTCTAAACAATTTGTATCTCTGTTTCCTTACTTTGTGATTTACACTGGTTGGCTTCAGAATCCTCCAGTGATAAATTGGACATTTGTTTACTCGAACAATTTTTCAAAGTACATTTTCATGTCGCAAGTATTGATGCCAGAACAATTGAATATAATAAATAGATGAATATATTCATTCATATAATAATAGAACCAATCGGAAAGATAAATAGCTACTGGGACAGCGACACATTTCACTGACATACTTGTTTGAATTCTTAATGACGCCACATTCATGACAACCCTTGTGAATAAGGACGCGAAGGGAAGTAATGGATGCGGTTGCAAGCTCGTAGATATGTGTGTTACACACGTTCGCGATTCCTGAGGCGAGTTTAATTAACTCTTTAGCCTGAAACTGATCTTTTCAATGTTTAGTAAAAGGGAGATGGGTTTGTCACCCATTTAATGATAGTGCAGATAAAAAGAAAAATACATTCAACCATTTTCGTACTTGGTCATACTTTAATATGTGATGGAATTTAATTATATTATTAAAAGTTAACACCTATTTCTTGTGTTTTCTCTCTGAACATTTTTAACATTGGACTTGAAACAAATTCTCCTTTCAACGTGTGCAGAGCTGACATGCAGAACCATTTTAGACGTTGTCATAAAAATTTTCAATTCCGACGATTCCTAAAATTTCGCCAATTTTTAACATTATCCTTTCACATTAAAGATTGAAATATCCAGATTATTAGAATAGAGACTTAGAGAATAGTCAAAAAAATATTCTAACACCAATATAATTTTGACTTTTAACCATTATATTTTGAATAAATATGCAACGACCAATAAAAATGTATTACACCACATTGCACTACAGAATATAGATGCCAACATTTAAAAACAAACTATTAACTTTTTACTTACGGTTGTTTAAATATTGTAAGAGAAATCGACAAAATGTGAATTTTTATGTCACAAAAATATTCGGACACTTGATAAGTTTAGTATCATGAAACTAAAATAACACTTCTATTTACAAAGGTTTAATGTTTTGTTGCACTCTTATGTTGAATAACGTGTTTTAAACATTTTCGTAAACATATTACGAATTATTATCTGTGAATAATCGGTGCTAATTTCTTATCGTGTTACAAATCGATTATTTAATTCATCTTGCTGCTGATTTTGCTTTTACGAACTCTACGCTCCAGCTCAACCGACAAGTTCTCGATGGGATTTAAGTCGGAATATTGTGGAGGTGGCTGAAGAACTTCTGCACTATTGTAGAGCATGTATTGCACAATCCGGGCTTTACGCTTGAGATCGCTATTCCGGTTAAATTTAAATCCCTTTGTAATCCTCATATTCGCGGTATTCTTATAACAATTGTTTTGCAAAATATTCAAATATTTATTTTTACCTACAATACTGTCTGTAAATACGAGTTCACCCAGACCGAAGCTAGAGATAATACATCCCCACGCCATCACCGCCGCTGTGCTTTATTGTTGCTTTTAAGTGTTTCGCATTAAGTTCTTGCTCTCGTTTTCGCCATACGGCCACCCTTCCATCACTTCCACGGATGTTAAAGGCAGAGCTACACACGTGCAACGCGCATTGTAGAACACTTTTGAAAGGGTCGAATTTAATGGTGCAATGAACTATTTAACTATTAATGGTGCAATAACTATTTAATAACATAAAGCTATGTAACCCCTTAATAAATTCGATCTGAACATTTTTCGTAAATTTTCTGCATGTACCCTGTGATTTCTAGTTCTTTACTGAGGTTAGAAAATAGCTACGGGACAGTTAGTTGAGGGTTCTTAAACTTTCTCTAACAATAATACGTCTATCGCGAACGCTCAGATTTTTCGGACGGCCTTTTCGTGACGTAGAATCAATCCTATCTTCGTTTGTACCTTTTAACAATGTTCCACACGGTACTTTTGGCTGTTAGTATATGCAGATGATTAGCCACTTTCTCCAGTCGTAATTTAATTTCTAATTTTATACTTTGTAAACAAACAAGGAATATTTATTTTTTAATTAATATTCTGTTGAAGTAAATACAGCTGTAAGATTGCAATATTCCAACCCCACAGGGCTATTCAATTTCGAATAGAAGGTAATATTCAATTTCAAATAGAAAATATACTATAATGTACGTTAAACTGTAAAATTTCGACACTCTCCTTACTAAGTCAAGAGATATGTAAATGTATGCAAAGTGTTTCACCTAACTTGTCACCTGAAGTTCTTCAGTGTCATTAAAGGGTGTACAAAGAAAATTTTTCTAGTCTAATTTTGCGGTACCACTTCGTAGTAATATTCTGCTTAATCTTGGACTTTTTAGAATGCTACACTATGTAGTTTGTCAACATTGTACGACCTTTACTGTCAGACTACCACTAAATACAGCATTCCATATAAAAAAAACTATTGTCACTTTAACCCCCCACCCGCTTCACCCGCCACAAAACTATGAAACGTTTGTAAAAAATATTTTGGTGAAATTTTCAATGCAGCAGGAACATATCAGGCGATAAAGTTAGATGAAACACCCTGCATACTTATTTGTATTATTGGAAGTGGAGGTTGATGCGATCGAGTTACTGCCGCCGCACCGTTCGCACGGACATTCAAGCGATTCAATATTCTGCGCGTTCCATTTGGAATGGATTATTGAAATTCCCAGGTGATTCGACGGTGAACAAAAGAAAAACTGGGAAGGGGAAGGGGGCAGAAAGAAAGAACGAGGAAAGAATTCTATTACCTTGACAAGTCTTCCAGTCGTCCTCCAGGATAAAACCGTCAGGACAGAGACAAAATACCCGGCCCATCGTGGAGAGACAGGTGTGAGAGCATCCGGCGTTGTTGACGCTGCACGGGCCTGCGTCCTGACACGAGTGGTTGTCTGGTGACAGGACCGTGTCCAGTAGACCGTCGCAGGAACATTCGTAGCCCCCTATGGTATTCCGACACGTATCCTGACAAGGTCCGTGTCCGTTGTTCAACAGACACTCGTTGATGTCTGAATAACGAGCATAAATTTAAACGAATATTGTACGTAAAATCTCTTCCGTATTTCTGTTCAACCCTTAATCGAACATATGACAATCTTATGCGCGAACCGCTATGTGGCGCCTGAGAGACTATTTTTGGTAAATATTTACAATAAGGGAACCACCTCCGACTTCGATGATTTTTCAATATGTTGTCAAGGTCGTCACCCTGAGTAGTATTGTGAAGGTTTTAATTTTGGTCGCCGTTTCTAAACAAGTTATTATCGAAACAAAGTTTAGAGAGATAATTATTTAGAAGTTTGGTCTTCTCACCGAATTCAAGTCACCTGTTTAAGTAGAAAGTCGTCTATTGTTTCGGGCAAGATTATCAAAGAAGTTACTTGTTTTCTTGAAATGTCTTTAACGAACCCCGATCAGTATAATGTTAGAGTTGGTTAGACACAGTTCAAGAAAAAAAGTCATTCAGAGTTGGTTAGAGACAGTTCCAGAAAAAGGTATCATAGTTCTCTTAATGACTTTTTGATAAACATTTCCTAACTGAAATTTTTTGAAGGTCACTCAGTAGGTTGACCTTGACAACATATCCCAAATAGCATAGAAACATCTTAATTAATAACCGTTTTGGTTTGCTCGTTTCTTATAATTCAGTCAATTTTCATTATTTTAACTTATCAGGAATGGTGAATAATTAGAATGCAAACAAGTATGTGTGTAAACGGCTGATATCAAAAAGTGTTATGGATTCTTTGTGAAAAATCCCAAAGAAAACCTGGAAAAATAAGACTCTAGACTAGATTACTCCCTTAAGAAATGACAAGACGATACAAATTTTTACAAAATTTGTTCAATATGTTGTAACAAGTTAGACGTATTCCTATTGCTATGCAAATGTAAGTAAATTATGGGTGGTTCCATACGAAAAATATCTGGTGATTCATATGTATATTGCACAGTCCATCAGACATCACGTGTCCAGTTAAGGGTTAAACTTACTTTTCGCTGGCTTATTAACCGAGTGGAAAGATGCATGCTGTGGTCCATAAGTCACCGGACTATCGATTATTTGGAATGTAACTTATAATACGATAAGGTTCTGTTTGGTGATCTTCTAAATCAGGCCTGGCCAACATGTCGTTAGTGTAATGTGCGAAGCTACGAGTGGCGTGCGGACGGCAGAGAGGCAAGAAACTGCGCGCGCATGCTCTGACTGTCAGAGTATGCGCACTAATTGCTTCTTGTTCTGACGTCATGCGCAGCAATCCAAGACAGATGCGCGGTAAGTATGGAGAGGGTACAGTCCCCTACGACCGAAGTGAGAAGGCCGATAGGGGAAGGGAACACATTGGCTAGCAAACCGCCTGTTGGCCACCCCTGTTCTAAATAGTGGATTTTTATGAAAATTCAGATTTAAACTAATTTTGGAAGATAGTATTGAGAATTTCGGTAGGCCACAAACGTAATAGAAACCTTGTTCAAGTTTTTGTAACTATTAATTTATTGTCTTTTGTAATGTGGAATTTAGTACAAGTCCGTAAATTTTTAGTAAGTTAGTTTTCTGTTTAATGGATACAATCAGTTCAATTACGTATTAATTACAATAATTTACATGATGAAACGAATACTGAAACGTGTAATATTCGTATAATAATTGTATTAATATCATGTTCGTAATATAATATAATGTATATTACTAACATAAATTCATAGGTTTTATAAAGAAGATTATAAAGGTTAAAGCAAGATTGAGTTCAAGAAATTCCTAGGTATCCTACTATACGTACCATTAGTCTCAGTAGTCATTTCTAAATAAAGTGAAAATATACGATTGACTACATAGACATTCTAGCTTGAATTTTCTTTGTGCTATAAACAATTGAAAACTCTTCATTTAATTTCATAATATCAATTCATTTTCATTATGCATTTATTAACATAAGTGTCTGGTGACTTATGGTAAAGATTGTAAGTGGGTTTAAATACGAAGGCAGACTGAAAATAATTTACCTGACCAGGTATCTCAAGATCGCAAAACAGCATGTCTTAGATCGAACATAAATATCAAATTATCTGTGGGAATCCAATTTGTAACATTTTCAACTAGAATAATCTCTTAAAAAGGTGGTTTTATATTCCGTATACTCAGTTTGTTTCAGAAATCTCGAAATATAAATTAAAACACCAATTTTTCATGTAATATTGATGGTTTCTTTTATGAATTCATTCGACTATGTACATAGTTTCCTTTTGAAAACATTTTTGAAGGCTATTAATGCGTACTATATTGATTAACAGAGAAATTCAAAATAGAAAAAAAGTAAAAAGATTTAATTACTCGAAGTACGAAATCATCATTTAAAAACATCTATAAAGAATGTGAATACTTGTTTCCGTAATTAATTACGAGAATGCCATAATTTACTGAGAATATGCAACTCTTACTTACAAACTTGTTAGAACTTATCCTTTTTCAGTTTGCCTTCATAATTTTTTATCGAAACAATAGAAGTTGCACGTATTTCACACTGTGTTTACTTGTATAAGACTACTTGAACTAAATCTTAATTTACTAATAGTTCTTGAGTACCGTACTGTTTTTAATTATTTGCATAAGGCGTCTTTTACCTTTATTCTAGTCGCTTAGTTGTGCCTTATTCTTCACAAGATATGAAATGCTAATTTCAAGTTGCCCTGGCTATCTTGTGAGATAATTATTTGTAATAAAACTAGTTTTTCTATTATAAGTCAAATTAGATATGATGAACCAACTTCTTTTCTTTTACGAAAACATTAAAGACTATTGTACCGTTTGGAAAGTTCATTGTACTCTCATTGACGCTTGGGTCAATAATTTTTACATAAAATACATACATTGATATGTCTGATGTAATTTTACTAAAGGTAGTTATTGTATTTTTTACAAAATAAAATATTGTACATTGTAATAAGATAGTACACGTGTATACTACGAGAATTTTTGTGTATCTTTAAACTTTTAAAATATTCAAAACCCACGTGTAGAAAGAGAAATTTCTTCCATTTCTATGAAAACGTGCAGCTATGCGTGTGTGTATGTACATATATAAAATATTAGTAATAAATAAAAATGATCTAATGAATTCCATATCCATTTTCCCTGCCACATAAATTTACTGAAATAATCATAAACAGTACTTTACTCACACCCACATCGCTTTCATTCAATTGCAATTATAATTACAGTAGACCCCCATATAATACGGACGTTCGTATAATACGTATTCGTGTAACACAACGGAAAAATTTAGACAATACTCGTGTGTAGGCAAATTTACATTTTACCATTCTAATTGAAACTGTCACCTGAAATATTTGTAAATTCTATGTAATCAATAATTTCCAACAAACTTTACATAAACATTATTTATAAATATGTCTTTTCATATGCATGCATAATTCATATCATGAATAACCTATGCAACTCGTATAACACCTATTCATATAACACGAAACGTATCCCATGTATAACAGGGGAGTCTACTGTACAACTACTTCCAACACAAAAAAGAAACAATGAAAAATAAAATAAGAATAACAACGTAAGGAAAATCATGTAATATCACCACTTTTAAAATATAATTATCTAAATCGAGATTATTGTTACTACCAATAAAGGTGCAGCTGGTGGCTGACGCGAACGGCTGAAATTCTGATAATAATAATGAAACGCAACGACGAGTCTAACTGCGTTCGCGTTAACACTTGTTGCTTTTTGTGAGGGAACAATGAGACCCCGCGGCCAGGGTCATGTACCTACATATGTATATTTCGGTGCAGATCACTCACCCCTGCAAGAGAACCTGTCCTCGTTTAGTTTCAATCCCTTCGGACACTCACAACGAAAGAATCCCGGTGTGTTCACGCACTTATGCTCGCAACCTCCCTCGTTATCCTTGCATTCGTTCACATCTACATTTCAATGGGTACATGTAATTCATAGAATTTAGCCAACTTCCTCCAACGCATCGTTCCCGTCACCTTTTCACCGGATAAACGGTTCGTATAATGATACAGGACAAGTACGGAGTTCTGGTTCGGTTGGCAGAAAGTATTCGATCAAACAGAATTCACCTGACCGTTGCATATATTTCCTGTCTTATTTCATAAAAGAGACGTTCAATTGAATCACAATTTGAGATGCGTAAAATTTTCATCCAAGACCACTGAAGATCGCTAAAAATTAAAATGGTTTTGATTTTTATACGCGTAGCGAGTACGTGTACAACAAAATTAGTTTAATTACAAATTTTCTTCTATTTTATTATTACGATTTATTATTATTTAATTACTATTAATAATAAGATTGATAATAAATTTAATTATTATTATTATCATTATCCAATATTTATACTCAAAATGTGCGTTCCTTGCCCCTCTTCATTATTATGCAATCAATGTGCACCACGTGCAACATAAGTTTCTTTTCTCTCGACCAAAATAATATTCATATATGTAATGCATCGACTGTAAAAAGTATACAAGTATTTATTTTGATAAATTGTTAATTAATTCACGCGAATGCTTCTTACAATCCAGTGTATACAGACTTTCACGAAATTAGGATCATAGATTCGAACAAACCAACAAAAAGATAGAAATGAAAGGTTAAGAACTGCCGCAATTATTGCTCTGAATTCCGTTCAAAATTTACGAACGAACTTTGATATCAAAATTTGATAACGTTGCTTAACTTTGACGGGACAGGTACGGCAACAAACGTACTAGATGCAGATACAAGGCAGATAGATGATTTTTCGTACGAAGTTGGGTGATGTTTTAATACCGTCCGGAAGAACTTGTCGATCGCAGAACACGGAAACTGTCAATATTTCAACGAGTATCCTGTCGATATTTCATCTCGAGAAATTTCTTTTCTCCCGGCCCGACAGGCTACCTTCTACGGAAAAATGGTGTTGGTCATGCGTTTTACTATTCGCACTGTTAAACAAAAAAAAAAGTGTGCAGAGAAGAAATTTCGGATCCATGAAGAGGGAAAGTATTATTAGATTATAAAAGATAGTAATCTTTTCTGATACGGCGATATTGAAAAGAGTTATTTGTCCTTGCCATAACGAGACTACAGTATCAAGAATGATCAATATAAAAATGTTATGTTAAATTATGTTCAAATTTCAAAACCAATAAATAAAAACTAACTAATTAATAAAAATGGTTTATGAAATAACATATGAATATTGAAATGAATGGAATTTTTCAATATATTTATTTGGAAAAATAGCATGCAGAATATACCACTTTATTAGCTGTTGTCAACTATCTGTATATTATAATTTGTAAATATGGTGTTTTATGTAAAATTTTAATAATGTAGTTCTATAGAATACGGTAAAAGAAATAAAAACAATCCAATATTAATATGTGAGGAAGAAGTCTAGCAGTATTTTAAAAATCTCATTTTCCGCGAAGCACACAAAAAGCTCTCTGATATACATATAAGGGAAAATGTAATTTGAGAATTATCCTTTCGAATCATAATTTTCAAGATTTGGAAGTGATTTGTATCCTTTCAAGTCGAAAAATATAATAGAAGAATATAAGAAATTTGTTTAAAAATCTTGAAACAACGTTTCAAATGTCTATGGTTACCTATTAAGTCTCTCACACTAGTTTCGATATTTTGATGTAAAAAGTCGGTTGAAGATCATGTTACCACACATTATTGATTTTTATCAACTTTAACTATTGCATTATACGAAAAAGGTATGTAACTGTTCACATTAATTATTTACATAGCTCAAATTAATTTTTATTGTTCAAACATTTTTTTTATCTGTGTACATATACTGTTTACTACTGCCCAGTTGAACACATGGAACGTAATTTCTAGATATTAAAAGTATTATTTTTTTCAAAACAGGTTTATGACTTGAGGGCACACTAGCCAATGGTGTATTTTTAAATAAGCAGCCATAAGTTACTATGGCATCCACTTTCAAATTACACTGGTCAATCGTGGAAAAAAGACATTCTCATTTGTTTAATAATAGTTAATACAGTTAGAGGAAATAACGATTCCCAAATCTTGAGAAAATTGAAATTCAGATATTTCTTCGCGAAATCAATGAGAATTAGGAATATTGACCTTACAAGTAACTGCCAACAAATCATAGCTATACAGACATTAATTAATAACCTCGATGATTATTAATAACGTCCAATTTTAATGAAGTAGACACAGCTAATTGAGTCTGGTATGAAGCAGGCAAAGCAATGAAAAATGTATGAATGTAGCGTACCAACACATTTGTTATCTTCCAGTCGGAAGCCTTTGTAACAGGAACACACGGGTTTGGCATCGACTTCCTTGCAGATCTGGTCACAAGAAGCATCGATGCAGACACCTTCAGGAACCTGCTTGATCTTGCACTTCGGCAGCTGCCCTATCCATTCACGCTTCCTGCAGAGCAACCTATTTGTTCTGGTCACCATATAATATCCTGGAGCGCACTCGTAGTCAGCTTCCAAATACTCGTGACCTGGTATCGACGACCTTAAACAAACCAGTCCAATCGCGGAAACAATGAGACTTACGAAAATAATAGAAGAGAGTGGCTAGGTTTGGGTCGGTAAGTATATTTTCACCCTTGTTACGCATACCTTATTCGTATATTAATTGTTCGTTGTTGCAGTAGTAGGAGTATTCATAACCTAAGCGAAAAGTTTGATACAGTGCGAATTTAGTCTTGTGGAAGTATAAGTGCATTTTCATGGTATGTTTAATAGAAATTGCTAGTCGAAATAAATTACTGTTATAAATTCATATAAGGCTTCTCGTACTGGTAAAAATTGTAATGGATGACCTCATGTCTCAGCAACAATTATATATTACAAATTATAACCTAAAACACGTGCTTCGAGTAACAGAGGTACATTACTATGAACATTCGGATACGGGAGGTATGGGTCAGAAGTGTGCAGGAGATTTGGGTTGATCCAAACATCCCCATTTTGTTTTTAATAAAATGATTCCGCTATTGTTTTTTACATTAGAAATTTAATTAACAATTTTCAATATCTTCATATATGTTATGTTATTTAATCACAGCCTTTACTTTATGTTTATTATGTTATTCCTTCAGAGACATTACTTCATTTATTCATTTCATTCACACTATTATTATCTTGTTTAGTGTATGTGTGTATGATATTCTTTTACACACCGACATCTGTCATTATTTTTTAACTCTTTTTCAAATTTCTATGAAACAATATTTGTGCACCCGTATAAAGAGATATTTTTACATAATATCTAAACTTTTCCGAATTTTCAAGCAATTATTTTTGCGAGAATTCTCAAACTAAATAGTAATTCGGTGGTCATAAAGTTCCCCTTCCCCATTGGTATTGCGAGAGTTAAACTTTCGTTATTCTACGTTCCATGAAAATATGCGAAATTTAAATTTACTTTGAGACTTTGTCCCAGTAAATATTTATCTGTCATTACTGTGCTCCGTCCCTCACTTCCATCCACCCTTTTACATTTTATTGCGTCACGTGGTAATTCCTGCACATCGGGGGCATTGAAAAGTTCAAGCTGCCCGATCCGAAAGTTCGCCTGGATGTCATACAATTCCGCTACAAAGTTGTCCTAGTAATTCAGTTTTCCAATGAAAAGAGGTAATTTCAACCGGCAATAGAGCGACACGTTCTTCGATTGAAGAACAAACGAAGGGGGCAGCGTTGAAAGGGAGTCTTTGGCGAATGTCTGGAGCAAGCGTTGAACAGGAACGAAGAAAAGGAACAGCAATTATAGGCGTTTCAACGACTCTCTTAGAAGCGAACGAGCGTTGCCTCGGCTAAGGAGTTGGTAACGAATCGAAAATGTGGGCTATAAAAGGTAACTGAAGTTTTGCAACATCAACGAGACTAAACTTCTTTTAAGAACAATATAAGATCTGGTACCAAAGGATTGTATCTATTATATCATATGGTTGCACATAAATAAGATTAAATAGACGCTATGTACGTTTTTCGTTAATTTGCAATTGCGACATTCTTGCCATAGGAATTATAGAATTGGGTAAATATTTACAATAAGGGAGACATCTCCGATTTCGATGATTTTTTAATATGTTGTAAATGTTGCCACTCTGAGTAGTATTGTAAAGATTTTAGTTGGGGTTCGCCGTTTGTAAAAAACTTAGATCGAAAAAAGTTTAGTATCGTACTTTAGTAAAATTGATAAGGAAAGTGACCGATGACCTTCAACTTGACGTATGTTGTCAAGGTCACCCTCCCGAGTGATATTCAGAAAGTTTCAGTTATCAAATGTTGTTTATTGAGAAGTTACTAAGATAACAAAGATACCTTTTTTTGCTCGATCTGTCTCTAACCAACTTTTTTTAAAAGTAGACACCACATTCTGGCTTTGGTGTCCAGATATATATATATATGCGTAAAGTAGTTTTAATAAAAATATCCGTTGTAAAAATCTGTTTTTTCTAAAATCCATTTCACTGTTCAGAACATTCAGTGTTCAATGGAACAAATACGTCCCACGTATAATCTTTCAAAAAATACGAAAGCTTGAGAAAAGAACAAAAATTGATTTCAATTCAGTATCCACTATAGACGCGAAGACGAACAGATAAGCAACCAATTCATTAAAGGAAAACTAATCTGTTCCCGACAGCATTAAACTGCACATGATCGCTTCTCGCGTATGCCCTTTCAATTCCATCAAGCTCGCAGGTACCGCCAGGTGCTGCATAAAAGACCGTAATGCGCGGGACAACGTCATAAGCGTACCAAGAATCCATCGTTATAAGGGAAATCGCTTTGGCTAAATCCACCCGTCCGCCACGTTTTCGGGATTAGTTGAATTATTCATGCTAAAAGCCACTTACTTTACATATTTGATCAGCGCGTGCCGCACGAGCGGCGCTGGCACGAAGGTCCCGTTTATGCATGATAAATCTCCCATGGTATCGTCTACATAGGCCACGGTGGTCGCAGGTGTCTCGGTGCTCATCTTTCCGGCCAGCCTTTCGAACTCTGTCCCGTCAATTATGGGTTTACCGTGGGCACGGGATCTCGGAGATTTGTGCCGCTCGATTTCGTCCCGGTACGACAACATGGACAACTTCAAACTCGACGCCATGTACGCATTGTAATCCTTCAGCGTCCGCGCTAGAACCTCGTTCTCCAGGTCCAGAATCGGCAGATCTTCCTTCGTTTTAGAATAACCGAGCATCTTCTCGGCATCGTATCTCGAACCGCCAAACCTTCCCTCCGTTTTGCTCTTCGAGCTCTCCCATTTGCGCTCGATATTCTTATGGGACGGTCTGGTCAACGAGCTGCCGAGAATACGGTTCTCCAGGCTCGCTGGATCTTCCATCTGCGTCCGCAGGATCTCTTTTTCTAGCTGCTTCGAGAATTCTTTCTCTACCGTGTCCTCGTAGGTCCTGTAACGCGTGGTTGTCTGCGGCGATCGTCTACTGGCTTCGGTGGTTAATTGATCTTGAAGATTGGACGACGGGGAGGTGACGTCCGAGACGTCGGAAATTGGACCGTTCGAAAGTGACGGATTACTCTTCCAAGTCGAGGAGTTCAGGTTGGTTTCCTGGGCCATTTGACCATCCGGCTCACCGAAAAGCAACGCAGCCGGCGCATCGTTCATTCGTCTTCTGAACTTTGTGTTCCTGCGACTGTTGGCCTTCTCGTCGTTCGGTCTGGTCCTCTTCCTTCCGCGCTTCCGCTCGCGATTCTTCCTCCTACGGCGTCGCTCCGCGCGATATCTTCTTGCCGGCGAATCCTTCGACTTCTTCGACTGACCACCCCTCTTCCGTCTGATCTCGTTCTCGCGACCCTCTTCCGTGACCTCGCGCTGACGATCTACGACGGAGCCCTTCGACTCCTTGCCGCGGCGACGTTTCTTCCGGGACCTGTCCCCGCCATTGACCCTTCGTCGGGCAATCGGCGCTGTTGCTGAAACGGAGAATGTATCGTCAGTGCTTATCACACGAAATGATACGAGAGAATTGTTAATCCTCTACTGGCCAGTGTAACTTAAAAGTCACATCTCGGTTTTACCATTATTAACCCCCTGAGCACGGTCCCTGGGTCACGCGTTGGCGAGAGCGACATGCACACAGCGCCAGAGTGAGGAGTGGGGACTCGCGGTTTCGAGAGCGACACGCACGCAGTGACGGAGCTGTCGCGTAAATCGCATAGCGATCGATGTTTGTTTACATGCGAACGACCGGGCCGAAACGCCGCAGAAGTATTGACTAATAAATATAATTTGTTTTATAATTCACGAGATTTTTATTCTAGTTAGTGTAAGAAGAACCACGAAAATCCAAATGTAATGTGGAACCAGCTAATCATTACATTGTATGCATAGTGACATGCATAGCCACTGCGTAGTAATATCGGTGAGGGTCTCGAGCTCGAGCCATACTGGTACTGTACTAATGTTATCAGTTTTTTTGTTAATAGAATATATAGAGATCTTGTTTAATTTGAATATCTGAAAAATATTTTAGTACTCAAGTTCCTTTTATATTTTGCTCTTCTTTTTATTTAATTAATTACATATGTAGGTGTATGGATTAGCCGATCCATTATATTCTATTTACAAAGTAATGATGCAATATAAATTCAGAATGTCGTGTACCTATTATTTTCGTCGATAACATGGTGTAGAATATTGGAAATTGGAGAAGTTTTTGATTTTCTTAGAAATGAGTGCTAGATTCAGTGTCGGTGAGGGCCTCGAGCTCAAGCCTAGCCGTCACTGTGTAGTAGTAAAATATCGATGTGGGGTCAGAAATGACATAGGGAACGGTGACCACGTTTCCGTGCTCGAAGGGTAAAACGTATCAGAATACTTTTTTCCACTGTTGAACAATGTTACTCGAAAATTATATTATGACTGCTCATTTGCAAATTCACCACTGCTCCTCCACCACACTCCCTCAAAAGTGGAAATCTGTTTTGAAAAAAGTAAAGCATTCGTAATTGAACATTTCAATTCCACGTGTTCAAGTGGCCAATGGTAAATAATATACATATACAGATAAAAAATTGCTGCAGAACACGTTAGATACAAATATCTATTCGGTCATCCCGTAAGTTCTCTGCGAATGTTGGAAAGTACTGAAATGCAGTACATAGATGTACCTACCCAAGAGTAATCCACCATTTTGTACTGAATCCAGCACTCATTTCTAAGAAAATCAAAAACTTCTCCAATTTCCAATATTCTACACCATGTTATCGACGAAAATAATAGGTACACGACATTCTGAATTTATATTACATCATTACTTTGTAAATAGAATATAATGGATCGGCCAATCCATACACCTACATATGTAATTAATTAAATCAAAAGAAGGGCAAAATATAAAAGGAACTTGAGTACTAAAATCTTTTTCAGATATTCAAATTAAACAAGATCTCTATATATTCTATTAACAAAAAAAACTGATAACGTTAGTAAATGCATCGCAAAGTGATCGTGAAATAACTGTCGAACGCTTATGTCACGCGCTGATTATTAACACGTTTCTTGTCTTTCACGCCGTTGATATACAATGCAAATGGACTCTAATTCATGTTTCGAGAGGCTACATACGCGCTGCAAAGTGCTGTGAAATAAACCAGAACAGTTTCTGCTCTCAGCAGAGTGCAGTTTCACCTACCATATAATAATACGTATCAATACCGTATTGTATAATCTGTCTGTACCATTTCTACGTACGAATCTAATATCTATCCTGAGATTGCATTTGCACAGTTAATATTAATATCTGTCTACTGCCTGAACCGTATGATTCGTTTTGAAATCACAACAGGCTTTGATTAGCAAATTATAAACTGCTTGCGCCATAATACCCGTGAATGGAACAGCTGGTTAATACGTTTTCTCCGCGAGACAGGAGTAATAAAATTCATTCAACATTATCAATGATAACAATAAATTTAGCAAATATGTAAGTCATTTCAGTTTAAAGTTTAGCTTATTTACATTGTTCAAATATGTTTATGTTTTCGCACAATAGAATATAGTTTATGACAAAATATACCCGGTGAGTCTATAATAATTATCATATGGAATATGTTGTATGTATAATTGACTTCAGCAAAAATTGTTTTATATGAAATATGTTGTATTAGATAGGATTCGCATTATGTATGTCTTTTACTTCTCTGGATATCGAAGTGATTTTAGAGTTTTTAAATAGTAGCATGCATTTCTACATGTATGTACTACTTTGATATAGCAGGTATGAAAGTGAATTAAAGGACTTATAGTAAACTTACCTCATGGAGGTAACATTAAGTAATTAAGCTACAAGTCTATTAGGTCGTTGCACATGAAATGGGCGATTTAGTGATGGGTATATTTGACGTTACTTTTATAAAGAAAAATTTTTAATATAGGTTCTTTTTTTTTGTAAAGTTAAATTACACATCGTACAAGTATACACTGCTCGTTTCAAGGTACTATCTATCAGAACAATAAAATCGATTGAGGGGTTCAGTGCAAGAGGAAGCTCTGCCAAAGCAGTAACATTGTGAGATATTAAAGCTTCTATGCAAAGTATGTAGTATACGTCATAATATGCAGGCAGGAATTTTGCCACGTAGACATAAATTAAAGGATAATAACTAGACACCAAGAGGTGCCAGAATGAAAACCCCATTTTTTAACATTTTGTGCAATAGCTCGCTCTTGCACTGGACCCCTCATTATGTTAGATCCTAAAGTTAATTATGGTAGAGAATCAATCTCAGTTAATTTCGGTAAAAGATGGACATTTAAATCAAATTCATAAATAAACGTTATAAAGATGCATATAAGTTTCTGCATGCATTCGGCGGAAAGATGGTAGCCAAAAGTATTTTTGAAGAGTCATCTTCAAACTCAGTATAATAATTAGGTCATGAATATAATACAAATGTAAGTATATTTAATTTGATTCTATGTAATTAAATTAGAATAACGTTCAATATCAAGTGCCGATAAAGAAACGATCACTTCATGCGCAAGAATCTAATAAAACATTACTATTCTTGCTAGCTTGTAACGATTAATAATACATTCCCAAGAACTGATACCAATGATGTCAAATTTTCTCCACCACTTTATTTAGCTGCCATTCAAATTTAAAATAATAACAGATTTCACGTCTCGATAAATACCGACTCCATAACGTCGGCCCTTCCACCTGCATGATGCAAGATGCAGTGTAAAAATCGAACTTCTCAAAACCGAAGTTTCACATGAACAAATCTGATTCAACATTTCCAACTTATATAAGGTGTCACTTTCTTGTCGATTGCACTACAACTTTCAATACTTCCTGTACCTACACAAGCGTCGGTAACTGTCCCGGCGTGAATTCGAAGAGCAAACAATTTTTACTCACTGACATTCAAGCCCGACCGAAGGGATGAGTTGGTCGAGGCATCTTCTGGCGGGATGAGAACCTTGTCCCTATTTCCGTCAGCCCGAGGCGCCGTTTCCGCTTCCGTCTCCGGCACCTCCGCCGCGTTCCGTGACGAGAGGGAGCCACCGTTCTCGTCGAGCGTTTTTTTACCCTCAAGAGACGCGTCCCAGCTAATGGACAACATAGCCGACCGTTTTTTTTTTCTCTCGGCAAAATGGGTAAGCCTATATACTACGTAGAACCAGCCATCCTCCCTTCAGCATGTATAACATCGTGTACCTCTTTAAGTTACCCTCCGCTCTATCGTTCCCTTTCCCGTATTAAAAATTCTTTCCTGGAGGCGACTCTCGCGAAGTTCTTCTCGCGGGAATAACCAGGACCGTACACTTCCGTTTGCAATTATTAGGGCACTTATCGAGTATGAAGTAAATGCAATTACGATATTCCTGAAACTCGAAAGGGAAATACTGCTTAGGGGGTATAGAAGCACTGTGGACAAGCCTTATTGTACTATGTAGCTATTCTACCCGAAATCGGTCACTTTTCGGAGTAAGATTATGGATTTTTTCGACACTTTGATATGTTGTACTCTTTAGTGATATATGTATAAACGTATCACAAAGGACTTTTAAAAATTTTTTGAATTCAAAAAAGTCAGCGATGTTTCAATGAATCATAACTGTTAAACTAACTAACTGATCAGAATGAGCTTTGTGGGTGCTTACGGTGGAGATATAAAACTATTTTAGTTAACGAAATATTTCTTAACCATTTATTTTGCAATTGTTTTAAAGAAATGCAATTTTATAATAGTATAATAGTAGGAACCAATTGACAAATTGAAAAAAAAAATTAATGATATAGTCTTATTTGACCCTTTTATGGGCAAATTTTCAAAAATCCTTTGGAATACGTTTAGATATCATTCAGGACTGCAACATATTTAAGTGTCAACAAAATCCGAAATGTTACACGAAAAAGTGTTCGATTTCACGTGGAATGATCCATAAAGTAATAAACGTTGCCTGAAATACAGGGCATTTTCAAAATAGCTGTACAACCCAAAAGGTATAGTTGTATGTGCAAAAATAAGTCGAAAATGTAGTATAACGTTTTCTCGTACGATGCTTCGTTTTCGAGAAAATCGAATTTGGATATCAGGCAGGCGTTAGATGAATTTTGAAAATTGATTATCTTGAATACGAAGCATCATAAGAAAAATGTTATTCTACATATGTTTGCATGCAGAATTAGATCCTTTCGAGTCGTACCACCATTTCGGAGACACCCTGTACACGGAATGTGTCATTTAAATCGATCTCAATGAATATCTTCGAAACCGTTGATGATACCACAAAAAACTTTGAAATTAAAGTTAAATAGTTTCGATAGGAAAATAATTTACCTTAAGTAGTATTTTTATTCAAACGTCCAATCAATTATCCTACCTTTCCTTTAATGTCGCCATACGAATTGTATGTTCTTAAAAATAGCCCGGTTTATGTCGGGTTTGAACTTATTTTCATCAGAAGAATCTCTTAAATTCATTCATAACATTTTTAAGACCGTACACTGAAAGGAGTAAAAGTTTAAATTTTTATTCATGGGTGATTCGTTCTGTGTGTTAGATTGTAACCGAGCCACCCGAGCGTCGGCTCAGCGAGCCCCCCCCCCGGCCAGCAGGTGCCAGCTCGCGAGCCGTTCGAGCGGCTCGGTTACTCATCATTACCGATGACACGTTTAGTTGCGCGTCTGTCGCAGCGGGTATTACACGGTCGTCTGAATATAAAATTTCCGTGTATATTTTATCACAGCGGGCCAGTGATATCCGAAGTCGATTTTCATCCGCCGCGAAACGTGAAGTGTCACCGCGTATAAACCTGCTCGTGTGTGTTTCCTGATACGTCCCTGTGTACTTCTGAAACGCGCGAAAAATGCATCGAGCCTGAAACGTCAAAGCAGGCGGCTTGCCTTTCGGCCCTAACGGCAGAGGAATCACCCTATATTTGAAACATTCTTGTGACTAACGAACAGTTCGGTACATAATCACGTGGAAAGATTAAAATGGGACACCCCGTATATTATTGACGCCGATACGACAATTTCAGGAACACGAACCATTATAGTTCCGTCGCATTTCCGATACGTCCTTGAGACAAACAGCGTACAGAAAGGTGACGACGAATGCTACGAATTGAGGACGGAACGGGAATAGAGATTTCAATTATCGTTTCAACGACGAGGCCCACTCGGTCGGATTATACAGGACAATTTCATAATACGTTCCCGTGGTGCCCCCGATATTCCAGGCAATCACAATGACGGGAAACGGGGTGGAATGTTATTCCCATTGTTCGGGATTCCGTCGGTTGTAAACGAAAATACCACAGAAAGTCGAGATATCTATATCCACGGCGAGGTCCTGGCGGAAACGACCGCCTCGGGGCCGGATTATTTATCCGTGGTTGAGCCTTTAACACGTCGCTACGGTAATTACGATTAGGAGTGGGTAATCAAACCGTTCAGACGCGTTTAAACATCCGACGACGCACGGTAGGTTACTTCAGCAATTCAGCGAGCCAAAAGTCGGAGCTGGTAAATAAATAGTCGGTTAGGTATGTACATCTTACATGAGTGAAATTTGGGGGAGCTACCAACCTAGTATACAGGGTATTAATAAAAATGTGGGACACTTTCACTGGGTGGATTCTACACGCAAATCTAATTGTGAGACAAAAACCAAGAATGATGAAATTGAGTTCGAAGCTTCGTTTCCAAATTACTAATTGTTGAAAATACGGGCAACGTACGTGTGAAATACGTCTTGTGCGATGGATTATAATAAGTACTTATAACAGTCGATTCCCAGCTGACACATGATTTCGATCGATGGCCTAGCTAAATTTCAAATGGATTATACAAACCCGTAAAACAATTGAAGAGCGCGCCTCTGAAGTAGAATTAGCTCTCTTGTCAAAAGTGAAAAACTTCGACGATTCTCTTTACGTCACTGAGTATTATTTATTTTAACAAATTATGAACAATAACTTTTTAATCCCGGTGCGTTCTCAATATAGACATATACTATTCATAAAGGAAAAACATGGACACATAATGTTTAATAGGTATTCCGGGGCATCAATACGAAAAAAAGTAATTTTTTATTTTGAAAAGTTTGATTTTTAAATGCTTGTTTTAACTACAATTTTTAATACAACCCATTACTTTCATCGTCTTCGAACGTGATACTAAAGTTTGATTTTTAAATGCTTGTTTTAACTACAATTTTTAATACAACCCATTACTTTCATCGTTTTCGAACGTGATACACATTTAGAAAGCAACATATATTCGTTAAACATCGATATGAGGAATTTGATTTTTTGGCAAATGAACAGCTAACTCTTCGATCTGGCCCACTGTGCGTCTCCCAAAAATTAAAAAGTGGGAGGGTGTTACCCGAAAAGACGAGGAATGAAGGCGAGAGCGAATGTCAGTGCAGGATGGCCGAGTGTGGGATCTCCATATCCCACAAAAAGGGTGGTAATATTAATGGTCTAAGGAGGGCTCCGTGGAGAAGCGCATACAATTTGGAGTTTTTGCAGCGGGAGTCGTGAGTTTGAATCCCGTTTGGGCCCTCCTTTTTGTCCAACGCTCCTACATAAATAGTTCCTGCTGTTCTTTTTCACGTAAGGTTGCTGAAGTCCTTATGCAGAAAAGTTATTATTGCATTATTTGTTGTGATGTGTATTCCAAATCTCAGCGCAAAGAATAATGGATCGTGTGTGTACTTTGCAAGAACTGAGCTTATTCGAGATGTATAAAAAAAAAAACATAAATAAACATTTAGAAAGCAACATACATTCGTTAAACATCGATATGAGGAATTTGATTTTTTGGCAAATGAACAGTTAACTCTTCGATCTGGCCCACTCGCGCCTGTCTGAACGGGGCCTTACACCAAACATATTTGACACAGTCTGTTCCGCGAACCCACCACTAATTACGATTCGTGCCACGATGTAATTGAGACGAACGGGGGCCGGTGGTTCCGACAGCCCCGTGTCCACGCGTGACCTGCGTATCCGTGAGCGTGGTCCGACTGTGTTACACCAATTAGAAAGTTCGAGTGTGTAACGCGACCGCCCTTATTTCGTGTGCCGCCAGTAATTATCGGTTACCCGTACTTTGGTAGCACCATTCGTTTGATCCTCTGGTAGTCTTGGGGGGAGCGACGCGAAGTCCAAGTTGCGGTTTAATGACGATTCCGCGGTGGCTCGATCGGAGTTCATTGAAGTCGCGTGGGCGGCTTGTTACGGGCGACAGGAAACGCAAGCTACGTGGCCCTTTATCTGGCCCTTTTTACGTCGTTAATTGGCTGGGCTGTTTATGCTGGTCAGTCGCCGAATTGGTTGAACAGAGTTTTTTTACTGGTCTTGAAAGGGTAAGTGCACTCGTGTGTATTCGGGTCGATCTGACTTGGATAAATTAATTTTTCATTGTGTTCATTGTCAGGGAAACTTGTAAATTAAACTGACACCAATATTTTACATACATCCGAGCTCATAAATATTAAGGTTACATACCTTTGAGCCGTTAAATAAGAGGGTTAACAAAATTTTTGGTATACGCAGAATTATTGTTTACTAGCAAAATATCGGTGCTTTGATGATTGATTAGTACTGCAGTTAATTTTGATTAACGGTCTAATAAACGTTTATTCTTGCAGTTATTAAAAATCGCTATTTAATTTTCTTGAAATATACATGCGTATAGAGGAAGTATAAAGCAAATGCATTATATATTCCCCATTAAGAAATTAATAGTGTCATATAATGCTATACGTGAACAAATTTTTGTAAATTTCTAGTTTTTTAATAATTCTCTATAGAGCATTTCATAAAATAACAATCCAATAAAAAGTATGTCACTAATGTAATGATATAACGTAGAATATTCAATAATGGTATAATAAATGTACTTTCAGATATTTAAAATTATTAATAAATACACGCAGTTTTTGTAATTGTTATTTTGGGATGGCAGTAACGTAGCTTAAAACAAGTGACACTGTTCCACAAATATGACGGTTAGCCTTGGTAATTAGCGAGTCAATTCGCTGGTTAATACCCTTCTCAGACACGAGTTATACATTTCTGAAGGAGGCTGGCTCATTTTTGTCCCATTTTAGAAACAACTTAACGTACAAATTTAAAGATAATGATCTTGTTATTCTTACCCTATTAGCACACATAATTCGTTCACTACTGCTGTTGTTAATGTTCAAAGGATTGAACTGTTTCATCACAAATAACGATTATAAACATTCTTCAAGGATATAACATTCAGTTCATTTCTTATTGCATACACTCTGGTCTAGCCAAATGGCAAGATAAACATCACATGGTTACACATAAAGACTTAAGTATGACTTTACAAATGTAAACAAGGGGCATAAATAAAAAAATCTTGTGTTATCACTTTAAAGAACCGTTGGACTAACAGTAGGTAATGATAACAGTAATATGATGATCTATTAACATTAAGACCAACAATAAATAAATTCTACAATTTATAGCTACCTCAATTGAATTTTTCTAAATATAAAATCCAGGGATATCATGAGTATGCTACAAATGTTTATATAAATATCAATGTTAATGGAACACTCCAAACATCCTACATCAAAATTTGTTTACTCTGTTACAGGTTCCATCGGGTTCCCAATAAAAGACAAACCTGATCTTTATTACAACCATGTACAGTGGGTAACGAAAATATTCGAACACCCTTTAAAGCAAAACAACTTTTTTAAGAACTGGACCAAGTGACTTGAGTTTTTTTGTGAAGTTAGAAAGATTAGTTTACTAAATGATATGTAAAATTAATTTCGAAAAATTTCGAAAAATTGGTCGGAATGGCAAAGAAAATAGTAAAGGTCGCTTTTTACAACACTTTATATCTGCCAAGAGAAGGTTTCACAACCCTGAGACGACGATTTCAATGAAACTTCGTACGTCTGTTAAGGAAGCAAAAATAAGGGAGACATATTTCTTTTTATCGGCTAACATTCACTTTGAGGGGGTGAAACCACCCCTCAAAGTTTCGACCCGGAAATACTATCTCGAAAACTAGAAGAGATACATGAAAACTTCTAATGGGCGAGCTTTATGGTTTTCCATGTACAATAATATGATTTTTTTATTTATGCACCTTGTATAAACACTGATGATAACTTCAATACTGAATCACGGACAGAATAGACGATTACGATTCCATACGCAGAATCGGTCATGTTGATAAACATTGTCACGTAAACTCCGCGATCTAACGGAAATCTTTGCTGGTATTGAATCTCCAACTTGATATTACGCACAGACCATTTTCAAGAAACAAAGTGAAATTATTTGTTAATTATTAGGTATACGACTAATAAAGGTCAGTACTTTTTTATTCAAAATTTAACGCTCTTTGATATTTTCGCATAAAAAATATAGCATTCCATTTAAAAAACAAAGTTGACCTTCAAATCTCCGAAATGCCTCAACTTAGAAAAAAAATATATGCATTAAGTAATTTATTCCTCCAAACCATACAACTTTTCTATAAAAAGTTTTTTTATACAATGCATACTTTAGAAATTATTGAAGGTGAACAAGTTGCGTGAACCACCCTGTATATTACAACACACGATAGACTGCAGACGTCTTCCAACAATAGCACACGCATATATGCGAAATACCGAATAAGAACATAAACTTTAATACAGTCTCCGTTTCATATTAATCCGAACGGACCACAGATAGAAAGAACACATTTTCATTTAATTTCCATATTTCTAATTAGTTCAGCAAAAATGAAAATATTTCCATAAACGTCTGCACGTCCGGTCGCGGTGCGAGAAATGCATCCGCGGGTATAAAACGCACGAAAATACTTACGGGTACGACTGATCCGCGTCATCAGCCTGCAGCTCGTCCTTCAGAGCCCCTATTTTTCCAGCGACATTTTTGCTGCCAAAGGGTTCCGCATGTTGGCAGTAACCTGCGAACAACAAAATCGTTCCGTGTTCATTCTCTGTCGGCTTGGTGGCATAAAAATAAACCATGAAGGGGCGGGGGGAAGAGGAGCAGATAAAAGAAAATTAAAAAAAAAAACTAGAATGGAAAACACGAGAAACGAGAACCGAGGTCCGTCTGCGGCGAAAAACGGAAGCGCGTTGGAGTTTCCACTTCCGAGCGTGCGCGCGCGGGGAACTTTTACCTGCACAAGGAGCAGGAGGAGGAGGAAAGTTCTCTGGCAGTTCGAGATCTTGGAAGGTTCACTTCGGTTCTGCCCCCCGCCCCCTCTCCGGGAACTTCGACCGGAAGTCAATGGAACCGGCGTGCCACTTTGCAACGCCCGGGAAAAGTAGTACTTGCATACGATCCCTTTGCCACGCGCTACCCTCGCCTCAGCCCTCTCGCTGGCTTTTCAGCTCGATATTGAACTTTTTAACGCGACCGGAGGGGAACGGCCGAAGCGAAAGGCATCACGGAAACAATGCGGACGCTCGCAGTGGCCGTTCCCCGTGTGCGGATACTCCAGTGTTTACGCGCGAACTTACGATGAGACTGTGATAGTCAACGAAGGTCGTAAATCTCCGACACGATTGATATCGACACCGAAGTTCGGCGTTTTATAATACGAATTAACGTGATCCGGATAGTGGTTTTGTATAAAATAAAAATGGAAACAGTATATGTGGATTTAATGATAATAAATTACAAAACAAACTATTGATACAACTATTGAGTGATGAATAAAATTAAGTATAATATGCGATACAGGTTATGCGGTTATATCGGAGTCTTATATGTAAGTGTATACAGAGTGCAAGTTGTTGTTGACTCTTTAGCTGTTGCTGGTAGAGTGACTTTCAAATGGAATTGAAAAAGCCATGAAAATGTAAGTTTTGCCTGATTGACTGAAGGATGAAGGCGGTTGCTAAAGCGATTTCAATGAAAGTTTCAGTATGTACATAACTAACATAAATCTTCGATATGTATTTATTAAATTTTCATTATAGCCTCAGATTAAAAGGTTGTAAAACACGACCTTTAATATTTTCTTCGCGATTCGGACCAATTGCAACTTTTTCAAATTTTTTTTTTCACATCATTTAGTAAATTAATGTCTCTAACTTCATGTCTCAAAATATTTTAGAATAACGATCGTGGAAGACTTCGTGCATAACATTACTTTTTACAACTGAACCCATAATTACTAGTCACCGTAAAAAACATATGAAACCCCTAAAGAGAAACCCCTTGCCATGCGTCGGGACATTTCACTATTTGCATTATCATCAAAACCGAGGGTTAAGGGGTAGCTGCCTATGAGTATACACGACATGTACAATAATGAAGGTAATCGCCAACTTGTATAAATAATTGCCTTAACCCTAGAACGGTAACATAACTTGTTTGCGCGTAAACAATAACCTGGTCTCATATGTGACACCAATTAACTAGTTATAAACAAAATTCTTGATGAAAATGCAAATGTATGAGGTTTTGTGGTATGTATTTATTTAATATCACATAACTAATAAATATATTATTTTTACTTGTAACCTCAAGAAACGAAAACATAGATAATTTTAATAACGTAACACAAATTTTATAATGCATATTTAAAACAGTACGATAAATCTGAACTTTCGTATTAATAAATTATATTTATTCAGTGCGATCAATAGAAATTGCAAAATTGTCTTCGGCAGATAATGCACAATTGCATTTAACACATGTGTTTCGTACCGTAACGTAGCGTCGTATGTGACACAAATTGAAATATCTTCATAACCGTATCCATATAAGCCCAGAGTGCACTACGTTTTAATTACTAGTACTTACCCGAAAGGTATAGTAAATTATGCACCTCGCCATGCTTAATGCCTGTTAGGTCGAATTAAATATTGGCGATGCCACCGGCGACACCATGTTTCTCTTCTACGGTTAAACATTAAATTTTAACTTTGTCAAACAATATCAATTACGCACGTAATGTAAACTCTGTTTATTCCGTGGTACGAGTTACTCGTGATACTTTTTCATTCGTCTCTAATACGAAGTTGCCAGGCTCAATTTAGTTTAAAAGAAAACTACCAGACGGTGGTAATATTCTAGTTTATGTTACGGTATAACATCAGTCAGTTGAAATAAATGTGGTGGAGTGAGTGAATGTTTTTGTTCCAGGGGAATATTATTTATGTAATTATTCGTACTAATTGTGGACAATGGTGTGTTTATATATTATACATGCTTTAGAAAATAAATAGGACATCCAAAATGCAAATAAGTGATGGTGAAATAACACTTTAACGAGACTCAATTTCAAAATTATTATACAGAAAGGCATCAGTGCTATTTTTGTTTAGAAAAAGTAACTGAATTTTTAGTTTCTTGTGATTGAGTATGCGTTCCATATGGCACTGCTTGAGAAAAATTGAAGACACATACCAGAAACAAGGTTCCTTTATGTCGTAGACATGACGTAATAAATAATAAATAATTAAAATGATCGCTTAATAATAGAAACATGTATAAGACCTTAATAACAGTACTATAAGCATAATATGAAATAATAACTTAATAATAATAATATACGGAATAACAAATAAGCAACTGATAAACGCATCACGACCTAACAAGAACTATCAAGGGATGAACAGACTGTTATTTCGGAGTAACTGGAGTGTCTCGTGAAAGTTAAAATTTGTATTTTTTTAAATAAATATACTTATATGTTAGTAAAATTCTATTAACCCGCTAACTGCATTTGTCTACTACAATAGACGCCTACTTTATTACTTTAGTGACAACATCGGGAACCTTTCTTGCCGATCGGCAGTACGAAACTTCTTTAAATGACATCGGAACGTTAGAAAAACGATGTTACTGTGACTACTAGTTCGTTCTTTCCCGCGAATAAATTATATTTGAAATAATGTTATATAACAATCATAATAATGTTTAATACAATTATAATAATATTTCTAAAATATGCTTAAGAGTTTTAAAAGGACTATGGCTTCTAGATTTTAAGGAAAACAAATTTTCTACAAGATACCAGAAAGATGCAGTGAGCGGGTTAACTGATTATTTATTTGTAGGATGTCTGGACCTACCATTACATTCTTGACTCACTTTTAGAACATGTAAATATTACCAGTTAACAGAAAAAATTACAACAATCGCATGCTTACCAGAGTTTACTGATTAAATAAAATGATACTTATTCTTCTTTCACCATGTAATGTCGCATCAACCACTTTTGTGGATTTTTAGCAACGTAATAGTGCTACTTATGGAGAGAACACCCTGTATATTTGAATATACTCGACAATCGTGCAAGTTATGATTATTGTCGAAAAGGACGAATACCTTTTCGTAGGTAACAGAATGCAAAGAAACGTCGGAAGCTTATTCCCCGTCGTGCTCGTTATCAGGAATAAAATATCGGAAAAATTCTGCGATCCGCGTGAATACGTCTCGCGATTACAATCGGCCACGATTCGTTCCATTTCTCCGCGGTGAATTAAACGAATGTAAATGTAGTCGATATCGCGTGAAAACGACTTTCCCATGCAATTTTCATGTACTTCTTTTTTTCTAGTTATCATTGGAAATAAAATAAAAATAATAGTAACGACTAAAGAATTTCACCATCTTGCTGCTTTTTGTCATGTTTCTTTGTTAATAATTTTCAAATCCAGGATAAATGATGATGTAAATGTCCTTTTCATTTCACAATTATTATTACTATAATGACGTACATGTTATTGTCAGATGTAGTTAAGTATCTCTGTGTTGTGCACTTATTAATACGTATTTTATAAATAATAAAGAGAAGGAAATATCTAATATACGATTAAGTGGTAGCACCACGATGATAGGCCAAAACGGATAGTTTGGTGATTTTAAAGAAATGTATGAACTTTATTGAATGTATAATATAAAGTTTCTATGATATGTATGAAAAGAACAGAAGAAAATTTTCTTTAAAACCATTAGTGCCATTCTGCGGTGGAATGTTCCACGTCCATACCATTGGATCTAGAACAAGAACTAAACAAAAAATTTTGTAATCTACACACTAAATACTAGAGAAGTACCCATGATTTTTGCAAAATATTGAAAACTCGTCTCCTAATTAACAAAGTTAATATATGATTATAAGAAATTTTACAGGATAGATTTTCAGAATCAAATCTTCGCCATTTCTTTAAAAATCAATATTTTGTCGAAATCTTGGGTACTTTTCTAGTATTTAGTGTGTAGATGATAAAACTTTTTTTTGTTCTAGGTCCAACGATATGAACGTGAAACATTCCACCGCACAATGACTGAAATGGAAAATACGTACCGTTCGGCCGGCACAGTGGTTCGAGGCGTATATGCTAGTTGGACAAAACCATTGTTTCGTGGTATTGAGTTTATATGGGATTGTAATTGTTAGAAAACGAAAATTATTAATAACAAAAAACTAATTATATGAAAAAAGAAACAGAATTATCGCATTGCACTTTAGCTATAAAATAAAATAAAGTAAATAGGAAACTACATAATAATCAATAAATACTTAAAGAATAAAAGCAAAAATATAACTTTAAACAAATTAAAAATGAAAATAAACAATAATTAATAAATATTTTTAAAAAATAAAAGGAAAAACAGAACTATAGTATTTCACCTTAACTATGCACTATAACTATAGTTATTTAAACTACATTACATACTAATCTTACTGGCTACTCGAGTCATCAGTGTCCGAAGAACGTTCGGTCAATTCTGATTGCTCATCTTCATCAGCAGCAGTGCTAGCAACACTACGCGTCAGAATTAAAAGATCACTTAATCTTGACCGAAAAAATTGTCGATTTTTTAACTATTATAATTTCGCTTATTATTCTACGGTTAGCAGCATAACTGTCCAGTAACTTATGAACAGACCTGGCCACTTCTTAAATAATATTGCTTAAAATATTCTTTCAAATTATT